GACACAATAAAGTTACGCGGGACACTTCGACACAACGAGAAGCTCACGAATCTGACGGCTGCCCACGTGGAGCGAGCCCTGGCTCCTTGGAATGCCACGGTGCATTCCATAAAACGGGTGCGCTGCGGCACACCGCAAAAATCGTAGAGACGTGCAATTTGGACCCACACGTGATCTCGCAGTTGGCGGTGCACGTCGACCCATTCGACCTTCCCCAGAACACAGTTCGATATTTGAGGAAGTACACCACAATGCTGACCCAGGTGTCGCCGCTGGTCGCATTGATATGAGGGGAGAAACTGCGGAAGGGCAGGAACCCTGGTTGAGAGCGGAAGAGCGTTTTTCATGATTTTCATCCTTACTCCGCTACAATTAGAAGACGCGTGACAAGGACGTGTTTGGCCACACCACAAGATGAACGAACCATCCCGCTAAAGCAACAATTCGACGTGCCCGTATTGAATCTGGAGTGGATCCGGAGCCGGTTGAATCCAACCACCTTGGAGAGACTCATGCATGTTTGAGGGCTTTTCGGGCGCTCCCCCTTCTCTCTATCCTTTTCGGTTAAAGCGCGCGAAGGCTCACGGAGGATTCCAGTCGCTGATGCACGATTAATGAAGGAAGCAGGAATAATCGAGGACGCTTCGTCCACAACAATAAGCGGCGGATGGATAATGCCTTTCTCGGTTGTGGAGGAGAAACCCACCGGTTTACGACGGCGAAAGATCGCGTGGCCACGTGACAGGAACGGAGACGACCCTTATGAGGCCAATGTTTATCTTTTACACATTTCCCATTATTTGTCACCTGCGATGACTGAGGCCGCTTCCTGCGTGGAATTAAAAGCATCCTTTTTTCCTGTCTTTACCGCGGGAGACTCGGCATCCCTTTTGATGCCGCGTGGAGGACGGCACGCTGGTGGAGCTGACACGACTCCCTATGGGATACAAGGCCAGCCCAGAAATTCCCCAGATTACTAATACTTCGGCAATTGCGGGGGTGACGACGGTGGTTGGCCCTCTCCGGGCTGCAATTCCATTGGTGCGTATCGACGTATGGATCGATGATATACGCAGTGCAGGGTCGAAAAGCGATGCGACATTGTGGGAAGTCCAAGTACTTCGTAATGCGGACAGTTGTCACGCCACGATGGGGGAGGACCGCGAATCGGGCACCACGCAGTACACATTCCTTGGGGTGCTGTTTGATCACACTCGACGGGCGGTGTCCCTGAGTGATGAGTTTGTCCGGTCTGTATGCGCGGCATGCCGGCGCTCAATTATTTGGCCATCGCGGAAATGGAGGTCATGGCGTCACGCTTTGTATACGCGGCTGCCATTTTGGGCACGTGTTTACGTGGCTACCACCTTTTCATCAAGGCAGTGCGACGAAGATTATCCGCACTTAACCGGGGGATTCTGCAGGAAACATCCCCGGCGAACTTTCAGCCGTCAGCGGTTGGTTTGGGCGAGGGATGAGGGCACATCATCGAGAATATAGTCGTGTGCGGACCATCAAGCTCACCGAAAAGGCTTCTGCCGCAGTCATCACGGATGCGTTGCTTCATGGATGGGGAGCCGTTTTCATTCCAGGCACCGGCGACGTTAAAATTGCCGGATGGAAGTGGGAGAAGAGGCCTTTTCTTATCATGCAGGCCGAGGCACGCGCGGCACGCTTGGCCTTATCGGTCTTTTCCGCCGTCTTGCTATCCACCATGGACGTTTGGGTGAACAAACACTTTGCTACGAGGAGCTGCGAATAAAGGCAGATCAAAATTGCACGCCATGACGTGGGATCTGCGACGGATATATGGGTTTTTGGATTCTCGCGGATTACAGGCATTCTTTGCTTACGTGCGGTCTGCAGAAAACCCCGCAGACGGCATTTCACGCGGTTGTGTTTTTTTACACTTCAGGAATTGACGAAGGGGAGCAGCGGTGTCGTTTGGCTGGAGGAACCCAAATTCTGCCACTTAGCAAGTAATTAATAAGTAATTAATATGTACCCAATCCGAATAGAGTGAACGGTCCACAATTGTGGCTATCGGATGATATACGCATATATAAATATGCACTTACTTGCTGTTAGACTTTGAGGATATGGTGAACCCATTCTTATTCCCTTCATCCCCTTATTATTCTTAGCTGGTTTGTTTTCTATGATTGAGAAACTCTGGATTCATCCAGCGCCCCAGAAGATTATTCCGCCCGTACTGTGCGGAATCCAGCGTGCAGCGGACCGTCGGGGAGGCGCCCCAACACCATACACTGACGCCGTGCATGACCTTCACCTGTGGCAGCGCAAGGTGGAACACTCTCAGGGTGTCTTTCTTGGTCCCCATGCGATGGATCAAATTGCTGTCAGTTGGAGTAGGCGCTGTTTCGACTCCTCACGGTGCCTCGCCACGTGTTTGCCCATTCCACTAGGATTCTGGAAATTGACGCCCAGAAGAGTCGAACTGCGCTCCATGGTGACCGGGGCGCCCTCGTAGGCAAGGCGCAGTGGGGCCGTGTTGCTGGTGCCGAGGAGAGTGCACCCCGTCTTGCCAGCGTTTGCTTTAATGAAATATCTCTTGGTTCGCTCTACCACGGCGCTCAGGCCTTTTTGGGGGGCCGAGTTGATCGTGTCCCTGTTGCTGTGCTGTGTGATATGGGTGGGATCGTCAGCAATTAGTCCGTGACAGATTGAGGGTGCGTTCGAAAGGCAAGAACAAAGGGAGTTCATGGCGATGCTGCAAATGATGGGACCTAGCACTGTTCCCTGCGGTGCGCCTCGTACGGAGGTATTGGGGAAGGATGCGAGTTTGTCGATGCGAACCACAGCGCTTGTGCCACTGAGGAACTCCGCTGACCAGCGCACGATGTGATTGGGAATTGACAGTCGTCGGATTTTCAAGATGATATTTTCGTGGTCCACCGTATCGAAGGCATTGGCGTGGCCCACAAGGTCGGTCGCCGTGCGGTGTTTTGGAGCGTTGCGATGCATGGCAGCCCTGAGGTGCAGCAATTGGTCGAGGGTGGAATTGTCTGGTCATAAGCCAGATCGCTGCGGAGTCAACTGGGGATCGATGACGTCTCGGATGCGCGCAACAAGAATACGTTCCATGAGCCTGCTAAGGCAGCTGGCCATCGTTGCAGGTCGGTGGGGGGTCGCGGTCGGATGCCGTTTTCCCCGGATTGCAGAGGAGAGGTATGACGACCACACGTCTCCGATTCAGTGGGACGGTCTCTGCACGTAGGCGTCTATTGAACAGCCGGGGAACGACACGCTTTGCCACACGGCCTAGATGGCGCAGCGCCTCTCCATTTATTTCGTCGGGGGCAGGCGCCAGTCCCAGAGGCAGCAGCCGTAGGGTGCGGTCGAGCTCTGCCATAGTTATTGGGGGTCGGGATCGGTGGCGGCGGGTATGACTTTGGGTGTCGTGTTGCTTTTGCCGCCCACAGCCTCATGAGGTGGCTGACCTCTTGGTGTCTGCTGAGCATTGGGCCATCGGATTTCATGGCTGGTGCGCTCAGGGGACGAGGAACGCACGCACGGCGTACTATCTGCCGGCTGTTGCCGTCCGTGGCCTCGAGCTTGGGGCGGAGCGTGTGCCAGCGGCTTTTGGATGCTTCGCGTAGCACTTCTCTGCGTCGGAGTTTGGGCCGCTGAATGCTTTCTCCGTGGGGTGCGGCTGGCGATTCCTCTCCGGGACTGTCGCTCTGGCGGCTTTCTGTATTTCTGATGTAACGTGCCTCTCTGTGCTGTCCATGCTGGTTAATTCTCGCGGGATTCTGCCGAATTGGTTGGTCTTACCGCCGCGCTTATTTTAATTTGCCTTCTTCCACGCTAATGATGTCCGGGCACGCCG